TTTTTTTGCCCCGCGCCACCCGAAAAATTGGCCAAAATCCCGTTTTTTTGGGGCCCTTGGAAGGGGGGGGGGGTTTTTCCCGGGGGGTTTCCCCGAGGCCCGTTCAACAAAGGGTTGAAAGGGGAAGGCGGGGGTTTCCCGGGGTTTTTTAATTTGGAAACAACATTTTTTTGGCAGTTTGGGCCGGTTTTGATTTTTGTTTTTAGGGGGAAAACCTTTTTTAAAATTGCCTTTTTCCTTTTTTTTTTTGGTCCCCCCCTTAGAAAGGTCCGGGGGAAACCCGGGCGGTTCCGTCCCGGTTTTGTGGGGATGGGAATTAAAGGGTTTAAGGATTCGGGCATCCCGGATTTTTGGTCCCCCCCCCCCCCCCCCCCCTATAAAGCTGATTTTGTGCTAGATCCAAGTTGTTTCGTTTGGTTCTGCGAAACGCCATCCCTGTTTACAACGCTTTTTTTTTGTGAGGAAGGAACCTTGCGTAGCCCTATGTCAATGGCCGCAACGACGAGACGAAAGTGACGGTGTAGCTTCTTGTTGTGTTGTATGCTACGGCCCATAGAAGGAACCCCGAGACAACCAAGCTTGAGATTTCTGAGGGCGGTGACGTCATACAATTGTACAGGCATTCACTGATGTATTCAGTAATGTGGTGTTCGCAGAAGATGTGAATATCGGGGTTTTTGTACCAAGACGCAAGGAACGATGCGAACGATGCGGACTTGCGAACGCATATCAGTGTACTGACAGTAGGACGATGTTGGTGGTGAGAACCCTGCGATGATGCTCGCATGATAAATTTTTCCGGATGGTTTTGATATCTAGAAATTTATTAAATTATTGTTTTCAATAATATAGTCTTCAATAAAGAACGGTTGTTTTTGTTCCAGATCAAGAGATTAGAGTTAAACTGGTTTGTTCTTAACTGAGAGGAATCCTCGACACACCCGGAGGATGTTTTTTTAAACGGACAAGATTAACCTTTTCCTTCCCAGCCACGGCATGCCCTCGCGTGCCCCCCCACTGCTGTCCGAATATCTGTTTGTGTGCGATGACCAAAGAACGTGTTGGTAGATGGACACTGATTTTGTCCGCGGTTGAGAATACGCATTCAAGAAAACACCTTTGAGCGCAATCACGCCTGATAAACCTGCCCCGCGTTCCTTTCCATTTCCAGCAAGTGACGATATGGAGCTTGGATGGAGGAACAAGAGAGGCCTTCCAGCTTCTTCTGTGGCATTTGTCGGAGACAATTGATACGGAGACTTTCGCAGCGCCAGTCATTTGATGTAACGGATGGTTTTTGTTGCTGAGTGGTGTACCTTTGGTGGACGGACACTGATTTTGTCCGCGGATGGATGAGAACACGTGTGTCCCCAAGAAACCACATTTGGAGCGTGATCACACCTGATAAACCAGCCCCATACCGACCTTGTCTACGTTTCTACTTTTTCAGCAAGTGACGATATGGAGCTTGACTGAGAAGCAAGAGAGCACTGCCAGCTTCTTCTGCGGCATTTGTCGGAGAAATTTGATGGCGGAGACCGCGATGAGTCGTTTTCGCAGCGTCTGCAATTTGATGTAACGGATAATGATTTTGTTGCTGAGTACCAGTACCTTCGGGGCATTCTGTCGCTTCGATTTTTTCAGCAACCATGCGTGACAGTGCTTTCACTCTCAGTGTGACCTGGTACTCGAAGTGTAGCATGGCCACCGCTATGTCACCGTGTGGTTTGATTGATGCCATGTGGCAGGCGTTGGTCATGCCTGTCGCCACCAAGAACCAAAAACACCACGCTTGACGGGGTGGATATGTTTCTCTTGTTTCGTTTGTTGCCTTCTTCGTGTGGCGCTTCGCAGCCGTGACGTTCTCAGAACTGTGCATGTGTGGTGACGTGGGACCGGGAGCGAGGAAGATTCTTCTCGTAAATCGTTTTTGAATTGTGGAAGTGAATGCTCAGGGTAGCGATGGTGACCCGTACACAACTGGTCACAACGCCTGGCCTACTCGGTAGGGAGACTGGTCAGGTGTTTTGCCAGATCAGTTCCTCCTTTCGCAATACCATTGATAAATTGTTTGTGGACCCCTGACGCAAGGCGCTCGTTCATGCTTGCTCAGAGAAATTGGCCACCGTTGCTGGAACCACTCCATCTGTTGGTTCTCATCTCAGCCCATCAACAGGCAATACCACTGAACTCGCTCCAGGAATACCGCCCTATATGAAGTTGGGCCCTCCCTTCATTGATGTCGAAATCATATCCCGCGTTGCTGTTGCGACTACTAGGCATTAAGGCGCGACGCATAGCCTAATCGACGTCTGCCGACGTTTCGGCGATGTAAACAAGGGCAAGGACAAAATACCACCAGCAGACTATCCGTGTGGGCAGGTCAAGTTGCTGTTTCCTGTGATGAGTACACGTTCAAGCTTGCCTCCAGTTTTGCATGCAGTCTTCTGCTGGAAGAACAGCGTCGTCTACGTGTTATTATCTACCGTTCGGTTGAACCACGCTCTGGTGAAATCGGTTTGCTGAAGCCCCCTTTGAGGTTGAGTTTCGGTTCCCACTAAAAGACACGACTGTTCAATCCCGTCGTGCCCACTATTTTTGTTAACCAGCAATCTCCACAAGGTACCCACATTGTTGCGGCAGATTTGATTCGCACTTGCTGTCGACGAACTGCTAAAGGTTGGCAACGACTTCCAATTTTGAATTTCGCTCAGGTTGTCGAGCTCGTGGGACTTTTGAAGACGTGGTGCAGCTAATAAAATAACACACTCAGAAGCCTGTTAACAACACGCTCAGAAGCCTGCTAAGAAGAAAAAATCGACTCGCCGCTGAGTTGGGTTCCGTTTTTACACCTTGAAGTCTCGAGAACACAAAGAAAACGGTTCATACAAGGGGGAGGGGGCGTGGTAGAAGTAACCTTAACAAAGGTCGGTTCTCCCCCACGTCCATCGAGCAAGATTCCCTCTCTTTGTCCTATGTTGAGGCGCTAAACGTAGTCTATTTTCTCAGGGTGCACCCTGCAGCTGCTTTGTCCGGTGGGCTGTGGTTGATTTGTAGAACCTTCGCAAAAGGTATGCAACAGATGAGTGCATTGTAGACAACCGCCGCATAATAGTGAAAAGATGCGGACGACACTGTTTTTTTACCGAGCAGATACTCTGAAAGTATCAATACACACAATACTAGAAAGAACATTCTTGAAAATTCCCTACATGGTAAAAGCCCTTACCGAAAAAATTGAAAATTGACAACCTTCGGTCAGTGCTGTCCTTTGGCTAATTCAAGCAAACCGCCATGCCCTCCATCCCCCAAAAAGAAAAGACTCACATACAACTCTAGGCGTTTTCGTGGCCGACACACGAAAATATTAAAGAAAAGTCCAGGGAGAAGGGCCTCCGCTCCCGTCGGGAAAAAAAAGGTCTACAAAAGCACTTCGGCCTCTCCCCACCGCATACAATAAATACCCATTCGAAACCAGCGTAACCTCGCGCATCACAAACACACACACACCATCATCACACCCTTGTATCGTACTCATTCCCCAATTTCCAGCAGCCACGTAACTATGGCAAGCTTGCCTCCGCCGCTCCTAAAGGTTGCGAGAGCCCTCTCCTCTCCCCCCTCCTCCTCTTTGTCGCCTATGTAGAAAGGGTCTATTCTTTGTGACGGCTCTTTGGGTGAGATTTTCGTGCATGGGTGCAACCGTGTGCCAAGCTCATAAAACTAAGCGAATGCCCAGCTGGTCGTCCTCGTCTCATGCAACGCTACTCTTTGCTTCTGCACGAGCAACCGTCAGCCGTCCGGTGCTGATGTGCTCAACAAAGATGCGAGTCTTGACACCTCCGTACAGAGACAGAAACACCTGCGGTGCCATGTGGGACGGATTACACAGAGGGGGGGAAGCCATGTGTCAGCAGTTTTGATGCAAAGCACGATGGCATTGTGGTTCATATTTTGAATAGAAGGTAGTATTTTTGAAGGCATGCGAGACGCACACACCTGCCGTGGTGTACTGGCCGGCTGGGCCGAGGCAAATAGTCCAGACAGCAATGACGGTGTACCAACCTGGAGCTGGATACAACATAAACTCGGGGCACAAACCATAAATGACCTCATAAGAATCCAGAAGGAGCAGGATCCAAAAGACGCACTACTTGTACTTCGTATATTCGGCTACGGAACGCAGCACATGCAAGAGAACGTACGGATCTAACGGACTTCTATAAAAGTTAGTGGCGGGGTTCGAATCCCCAGGCTGCACTTGAGGTGGTGTTTTTCCTGACTGGGACCCTGGATTACTCTTGGCTAGAGTGTACCCACCATCTTGGGCTTGACGACGGTGATCTCTCCGTGGAACTCTTCTCCCGTCACGCGCGACTTCACCACCACCGGGTCCCCCCTCACGAACGTTACGCCCCGCACGCGGAAAGAGTCCTGCAATACGGTTACCTTCGTCCAGTGGGAGTTGTCTGGCGTAGCGTACCGTCACGTCGCGGTGGGGATGGGGGTCGGGTTTGGGCTAAGAGCTACAGGAGTAGTTTTGCCTGACGCGCTTGGGTTGATTCAGAATACGGTTATGCAATACGGCTATGAAATGCGGTAGGTGACGTTCGTCCCGTGGGAGCCGTCTGGCGACGTGGGGGTGGGGTTGTGGGTCGGTTTGTGTCGAGAACCAAAATCGTAGTTTGCCTGAAACGTTTGTAGTGTGAAGCAGTAGTGGTGCTAAGGCTGTCGTTACGACAATGTCTGGAGTCACGCTAGGGCCAAAGTGGTCCGATATCGTGCGAAAGGCGAAAGATGACACTTCGACAACCGAAGGTGAACGTACGCCGGGGTGGGGACCCCGGAAAACAGCACAAGACACACATGCGGGCGTAGAGGCCGACACTGGTGGGGACGATAACCGAGCATACACATACAGCGCGGGGGCTGAGGGGGGCGGACAACAGCAGAATTAAAACTGATGTCGAACGACGACGCCTCAAGCAGGGAGCAGTTGGCTCTGCAGAAGGCTCGGAGATGATATATGCAACACGCCCTACAAAAACAGAGACCGCAAACGAGACGCAAGAAAAAGAACAATCGCCCCCGTGCAGAACGGTTGCAGGTCGGACCGAAACGACGACAAAAACGATTCCATGGTAACGGACGTTGGGCAAAGCGTAGCTACAGCAAGTTAGCGATGCTGCCGTGGTGCTCCGCGGATCGGCCACGTTCTCAAGACGATCTACCGCATGCCGAACCCCCTTCGTTTCAGAATAGTCACCGCCACTTCTCACCAAATGCGCTCCCCGTGGTAGGGCCCTCCGCGGTCATGAAGGGAATCCTCGAGTGCAACTGCTCCAAATGCACGTACCTGGCGAGTACTCGTGCTGAACGACTGATGCCTCGAGGTAGCACGTTGACCAATCATATGGCTACAGTCTAGGCACTTACCCTCCCTCTCCTTCATGTACTACCGTCTGTCGGGTGCGGCCTACAAAACTCGCTCTACGTACGGGTTACGCCGTTCTACATTGCCGTTCCTGCCGTAGTTGCGGCACTCACTGTAGGTGGAGAGGTAGTTCTTCGCGCGGTCCCTCCAGTCTGTGATGATTGCTTGAAAGTCTCGTCGCATTTCGATGTCCGACAGGGCCACCGTGCGAACGCGCCGCGCCTCCACTTTTGCCAGGACTGTCAGGTCGTCGATGCGATGGCATTAACATTTAACAATTGCGTGTTGAATTGCCATACGGCCACCGCAAAACACAGACAAGTACTACTTATTAAGCGGCTCCATTGACAGTCCGAAAAGTAGAAATATGGAAACCAATTCTGCAGCAGCTACGCATGTGTGAGTGAGTAAGGGTGGAGATCTTGCGAGTAGACATCGTTCAGTACACAAGAGGCAAGATCTGGAGGAAGGCTTCATGGAAGCCACCGTCCGTGTTGGAGAACACCTTTGACAGCACGATAAAAAACACTCATTTGTGACAAGCACCAGTTGGAATCACTGACAAATCAGCGTACAGAATAAATAAGCCACTCCAGCAGGGTATCTCCCCCACTCATTGCAAATATTTCACCACATCCCCTTCGACTGCTGTGGTACTATCTCGAACGGCCTCTTAATGATTGAGTGTCCTTTTAGTGATTGTATGCATATTTCAATAAACACCTCTCACCAGCTTCGGGCGTAATCTTCTCGAACCGCCGTTCCGGCATCAGCCTTGCCCGCTTCTTCCCCAACAGCAAGCCCCCGCTCCCACCACCTCCGGCCTTGTCCTTGACACCTCCCCCCTCCCCGCCTACCTCTGACGCAATGCCACTGCTCGCCGCTGCCGAGCGCCCCAGGAAGACGTACAGGAGGGAAGTTTTATCGCCGAGGTTAGGTCACGGCACCGCATAATTGTACACACAAGGCGTTTGCTGTTGGCGGGCGGGGGGAGACGCGTTCTCCCCCCTCGTTGCTTGCCTGATAATATAAGGTCATCAGCGAAGACGCGCTTGTTTCGAGAATTATGGCGCCTTTTGATAGTGCCAACGCCGGCGCTGGGGGCGTAAGTACCCCCATATGACCATGTCTCACCAACGGGGGTTATGAGGTTGTGCTAATCCTCTCCCCCTCCCACCCTTGCGCGGAGTTCGTGGTGATGGCACGCTCTGCTGGGGCAGCGACACCTGGCACATTTCAGTAAACCTTGGCATGATGCGATCGCGCTCACCTCTAGCAGGGTTGGGCGAGACTAGCCCCCCGTCCATCCTGGCCTTTCTGATGCGCTGATGCACGTCATCCAACAGATCGTCCTGGGTACGCTCCAAGTCCACCTGCGTAGCGCCGGCCAGTCCATTTGAAGCGTGGCAGCATAGATGGAGGGATGGGCAAGACGTCAATCGGCACCGGGTGTGACAAAAGCGTGGCCGGTATGAGCGAAGACATGTAGTTGCCATGTTATGTAGCGTTATCGGCCGGCCCGCCGATATTGTCGGCCTAGTCGGCAATGAAAAGCCTCCTAAGGCACAACTTGCCACTGCCCCCAAACGCCCGCTTGGTTGCATCTGAACCCCCCTCCGGCACAAAAAAAAACTGTGCGACACCTCACATACTTATGCATTGCATGTTACCGCCACAGACGCCAGGCCAGGAGCCATGGCGAGACAGCGCAAGCGGGAACGAACAAATGCTCGCCCTTGAAGACAGCAGTGATACCATAATTAACATAGGGTCCTACCTTCGTCTGGACGTTCGAATCGCGCGCCTCAGCGCTCCCCAGCTCTTCGATATTCGTGATGGTCAGCTCTGAGTTGCACTTGGCGCTTTCGAGCCGCGAGCGCTTTAGCTTCCCCTGGATTTCAATATCGGCCTTCATCTTCGGGTGATTTCCTGTTGAAACGAATTTTGCGGGCAGAGCAAGGCAGAGGACAAAAAAGGGTAGCGCCTGTAAGAGAAGTTGGGTAAGAATAAACACTTGCTTACAACTAGTTGTTTTTCGACGGGCTACAAAAATACCACCACCCTCTCGACCCCCATTTATTCCGCTCACGCTCCAGGTTAGACTCAGAGGAGATGATGCTTACAAGTCGTGCTTCTACAAAGTAGAAGTAGTAATCTACCAACTCCGCATAAGCATGGCTTCAATACATGGATCGACAGGGGGTCCTGGGGGGGAGTTCGCAGGGCGGTCTTATGCATAGCACCCACAACAAGTTTTCATTACCAGAGCGGCGGTTGTGTAGGCTCACACAGAGATAAACGGACACATGGGTGGGTACACATGCCAAGTTGCTCCGGCAGATGCATGCCACTACTCGTTTCCGTTTTATTTTTTTCTTTGGAGAAACAAGTTTACACGTACAGCAAGTATCCCGATTATGTGTAATGTTGGTACCGCGGGTAAGTCAAAGATGGTGTCAGCAAGCACTCCCCGACCGCTGTATGTAGCACCAAGCAACCTGCCAGATACATCTCATGTGCTCGTGCGCGACATTATCGGTAAAGTGGTACATACTACTACACTTGCTGTGGTTGCTGGGCGCGTAAATCGCGGCAAAGGGTGTGTAGTTTTGAATAGACCGTTTTCTACCCATCACACTTAACACCCCGTCGTATCTACCGTATCGGTACTTTGGGCAAAGACAAGCCATGCGTGGAAACACAGACCGTAGATGCCTGCACACCACCGTCAAGCAACAGAAACCGCATCACACAGGCAATAGATCGCGGACGCGCTCCCGGCAGTCGGTCAACCGTCAACATCGACGTCGCCACACATACGTATGATATCAGCCCCCGTTTTAATGATGTTGGTGTGAGCAGCAGTTTGCCCGAGAATCAAGAGGCGACGGTCAAATACACAGCAAGTACGTTGGGGATCGAAACACGATGGGCCTCGAAACACGAGAGCGCAGGCGGCCTAGCATCCTCTATTGTCGGCAAGCTCTGATCCCCAGCGGGCACTCAGTACCTGGGGAGCGGGAGGGCACTGCTGCTGCTGTACGCAGGCGAAACTGCCGCTGCCTGTTCAGGTGCCAGTGATGCATACACCCACGACCGTTCCGACATCCAAATGCTTTGAAGCCCGCTACACACACAGCAGTAGCAGCAGCAGCGGGAGGAGAAGCAGCAGCAGCAGCAAGTCTGCGCAGCACAGCAGCAACACGGTGCACCGCTTGCTGGCGCCTGGGTTCTCACCTGACTTGATATCCTCCGCGTTCTTGAGCAGCACCTCGTGCGCTAGCTTGAGTGCTGGCGAGACAGCGGGAGGCGGCGCAGCACCGTTCTCCTTTGGGCGCGATTGAGCCACCTCGTCCTCGACGTCCATCTCAGAGCCCTCCGCCCTACTGGCCCCTTCCTTGCTGGTGCTGGTGCTGTTGGCGGGGGACATAGGTCGGGGCGAGGACGGCGACGAGGATGTTGGCGTGTTGGAGGCAGCACCGGCAGCAGCAGCAGCGCTCGCGGTGCTTTGTGCCTTGGCGGCCGCCTCTATGTTGGCGACGGTCTCCGTGGCTGCTGACAACACATCCATCTTTCTGTTGTGCGGGCGGTAGCACACCGTCGTGGCGTGCTGGCGGTGGTGTGGTGAGGAGACGGCCTCTTTCCCGCTGGTTGAGAGGAAACAGCTGATTGAGCGAGGCAGCCAGCGCCCTGTTCGAAGTGCCCAGCTGGAAACCCTCTAGGTTTGAACGGCGTCATACAGGGGAGGGTGAAGTACCTACATACTATAATTTTCATAGTACTGTCCCCCCCCCTGCCTCTCGCCTACTCCCCTCACACAGCCCCCGGATTCGCGACCTGCTCTTTTCGCACCCTTTCACACCCGCTGCTGCAGCTGTACCGTTAACGAACACCGAGCGATCACTCACGATATCATGGCCGATTCATCTACTGCTGCCCGGGTCGAGGCCCTGCGGAAAGCCGCCGTTGACAGGGGAATCGATCTACCCAAGGTATGTATTGTCTTTTTAAAGTGTGTTGATCTCCCTCCCGTTCACCAAAGTTTGAATTCGCTCTACGCGAAGAGGCGCGCGACCGGGAGAAATCATGCTGTAGAGCGAGGAATAACAGAGAGAGAGAGAGAGCGGGGGGCGCTTGTGTCTGTGGTGATGATCTGCTCCGATTCATCTGTGCCTTTCATCTGGAGGGCCGCGCGGCGCCTTTGTCTGCCGGCACCGGCGTGATTCTGCTCCGCATGTCCGAGCCAGATAGTGCTGGCACCAAAATTCACTTGCGATCTGTTGGCCACATGTATTGTAGGGCAATCATGGGCTTTTACTCCTTTGTTTTAGCATGTGTGTGCGTTTCATGGTAAACAACGGCTCTGTCTGGTAGCTCCTCTTTCCTGACCCCCTTACGCAGTACGTGTGGTTCCTGGACTGACCGAGCATACTTGCCATCTCTCTGTTTGAAAGCCTACACTATTTTCTGCTCCAGGAAAGACTTTACAGCAGTCTACTGCTGTACATTCCACAAGATGTTCTTTCCTCCGTGTCACTTGAGATACATACATCCTACCTACATGTGCTTGCGTTTAGCTACCGGGACACAAGTAGCCTCGTGACACGTTCCCAGCCACAAAAATATCAAGCGACTTGTTGGTACTGTAGATACGTTAAAGATCACCACGACTGATTTCCCAGTCGGATACAAGTACTTATAATAGTTTCTCCCGTTGCTGCTGTACTTGTAGGCGGGCATTGGCATTGGAGTGGAGTACTGCTGTTCTGTACCAGAACACAACAATTCACTGGATTAATGTTGCTGTTCTTCGCCATGCGTTAAACCGAACGCGTTGCTTGTTTTAGGCAAAGAAGAAGAGCTCCCGGGAGGTCGAGGAAGCCCTCGAAACGGCCGGCCTGGAGGATGAGACCGGCGGCAGCGGTGACAACGAAGCGCTAAAAAAAGCCGCCCTCAAGGTATTGTATCGTTTTTCGTCGGTGGTCTGTTTTTAGCCAAGTGTACTAGGAGTTGTACAGACATAATTTTGGTAATCCAAGACAATGTCTAGATTCTCCAGAGGGTACGCTGTTTCTCTTTTGATTTCTGGGTGCGATATGTTTGTCTCATGTTTGTTACTGCAAGTATGACCAGAAGCAGCGCTACCCGTCCTTCGGGACACGTGGCGCTTGTGCTTTCTCGCCGTGCATCGAGTTCCGTCCCTCCTTGGCCTACCCTGCAGTGGTGAACTGCCAAGTTGCGTAAACAGTTATTTAGCCGCGCTGATCTTCGGCGTACATGACCCAAGGCGATATTGCCCCGCCGTATGCATTAGAAAAGACGAGATTCGTATGGAGAGGATGGTGACTGCGCTCCACAAGGACCACACGAACCATGTGATCACTTTGATCGAGATGCACGCATCCCAGGCCTGGCCAATTTTGGCGTTCTGATGCCCTTGTTTCTATATGACGGTCGCGCACCGAGGGGCCAGAGCCGATTGTTCGGGTACCCCATGTGTGTTCTTTCCGTTGCCAGCCCAGCCATCTATAATAAGCCGTCTCCGAGATCAGTTTCCCCTCGAAAAGGTACTCATGCACAGCTTTTGGCGACGTATGTTGCGTGTGGTTGACCCGAAACACAGATAGGTCTCATCCCCCGCTCTCTCGTCCCCACCCCCCCTCACGGCTCGCTCCTGCGACGTGTCAACACTCTCAATCAACGGATGACATCGCCAGATCTTGGCAAAGAAGTTCGGGGTGAAGAAAGAGCAGCAAAAGGCAACCGGCAAGCGCAAGGCCGATGGTGGCAAAGGAGCTGCCAAGCCGGCGGCCCCTTCGTCGTCTGCTCTCGATGAGGTGCAGGGCTTCTTGCTCTTGCGACAAAACAATTTCCTTTCCAACGGGACTTGGCGTGGTACTTGATACCTTTCTCACTTCGCCATTTTTTTTTTACGATGTTGAGCGATGCTTTGCTTCGTTCGAAATTTTTACTAAGCGTTTATAACTTAACGTCTAAGTAGATGGAGGTGCGTTTTCGCCGGTCCTGGCCGCGACTGACTGTTATAGATGACTTGGTTTAGATTGTAGCTCTGGAGTTGATTCCCACTTGTGGAAGTTAGAGTATGTTTGGCATTCCTTGCCACATTGAACAACAGGAAATAGCAGCCTCCGGTGGCAGGTCGAAGCCACCACACTCTGGACTCTCCTCTCACCCAGAGTTGAGGCTTCCATACCACAGCCATTTCTTTCGGTACACCATGTTCGTGCGGTCTTGTGTAACCGCGTTTGTTTGACGTCTCACCTCCTACCAGGTGTGGGATGTGTCTACCAAGGAGGAGCGGAAGAAATACGTGGCCAAGCTCATCGAGATCGCGAAGGCGAGGGGCGTCAGGATACCAGAGGTAACCGAGCGCGTTTTCGGTTTTCTTCGCTATCCGTCACCCCGGTCGTTCAGTTGGCTTGGTACACAACCTTAGCTCGCTATGAAGATTTCGGACGAGTCTCTCGGGAGTTAAAAATCGCAAATGTTGAGGTGGACAGCGCATGCTGGGCGGGTAAGCACAAAAAGAGGGAAGGAATTGCTCAGCTCTTCTCGGGTTATTTAATCGTTGAAGGCAAGCACCGCAGCGGGGAAGGTGGAAAAAGAAGAGAGTACTACAGGTGTACAGCGTTTACCTTGCTCCTGCGTGACCCAAGCTGGTACGTCAAACCTATTCTGTAAGGTGCAGACTGGCGGCCACAACAAGTGGGACGACATCACACAGACATGCTGTTAGAGTGCCCCTGCCTGTCGTGTCGACAAAGAGTTCATCTTACGGACGCCGCTTGAGGAGGAGAGATGCGTTTTATACTCAACCCGCGCGCTTATTACCTTCGCCCAGAGGGTGAGAACGACATGCGGGGGATCGAGGGGCTCCGACGTTTCACGCTTTCTCAATATCACACGAGACCCCGTAGATCTGTGTCACGACCGAACACGCCGAACACACACACATACACGTCACCGCGTATTGTTCAAATACACGCTGCCGAATAGGTGCCCCTAGATTTGGGATTGTAGCTCTCTATCTCCCTACGTATCGTGCACCTTTTTGTTCGTTGTGCGCATGATGGTGTACGTCTGAGCTTGCGCGGAGAGCCAGCGTTGGTTTCCGGCGTAGATGCGCTTCGTGCCATGCTCTCGAGCATGGTTTTGTTGCTGAGGGCAACGGTCGAAGCTTGGCCGTATGATGGTGATGAGACGCATCTCTCGACTTTTACGGTTGTGCGTGAGTGTACGAAGCACGTGTATTGTCCGTGTTCGTCCCTTGGTTCGTCGAATTCCCTCGGACAACTGCAAGGGTTCAAATGGCGGCGTGGCGCCTTGCCCCCTATGCTCGCCTCTGATGTATATACGTGCTGCTCTGTGTTATCGATGTTTTATCGAAGCGCATGCGCGCCGACGCCACAAAAATACACACACCCCCGCGCGGCAGGATGCTCAAGCAGCGTCGATGGGCGTGGGCACCGTGATCATGGGGTCCAAGGACGCCGACAACAAGCTCAAGGTCAAGGACGCCGTGGAAGAGCTCACCGACAAGTTCGGGAAGGACCCGGCGTGGGTGGACCCGGAAGACTCGGGGCCGAAGAAGAAGAAGAGGCCTAGCACAGCCAAGCAGGTGCGGATGGGGCGCCGACTACGGTATTTAGTTAGTATGTGGACTTCACGGCCTCTTTTGGCACCCCTATCGTAACATCATACTAGCGATCCGTTTTTTTTGTTCAATTTTTTTTTTTTTCCTCGAGAACACGCTGCTCGGTGTAGGTCGGAGTTTAGGGTCAGCGTTTGGTTGGGCCCACATCTAACGCTGGTGTCTGTGTCTGTGTCTGTGTTTTGTCTTGGCATATTTTCTGGACGTTAGTTTTACAACTTTTCGGTATCTTTGGATGCACGAGCAGGACTAAATAGGAGTGCGTGTTTCAGTATTAGGGCTTCCCCAAAACTGAAAACTCTAGAAACAAAACTACACACCAAAAAATGCATTTTGCTTACTCCGTTTTGGTGCCCTCAACTGGTATTAGCATCGTTTCGTTGGCTGCTGTATCGGAAAAGATCTACAAAGGAAGGGTGGATAGTCGGCACAGGTGTTCCCCAATCTACAGTTGCACGGGCGTGCGGTATCAAAGGCAAGAGCTGACGGTTTCTTGACCGCGATGGCACACTGTGCTGGACGTGTGAGTCTTGAACTGTACAGTCTACGCACGGCGTTAACAAGGTCAACAAGCTTGCTTGGGTCAGGAGAGGAACAGATCACCCACCAGTTATTGTTCCGTTGTTGTGTGTTATTACAGCGTCGTGCTTTGTTTGCTGCGTTGTCTTGTCCACCTCGTTGCTTGGTTTACTAAACTGCGTCCCTTCCCCGTGCTCGTTCAAAATTGGGCTTTGTACATCGCCCAGCAACCATACGATCGATTAATGTTGTTGTTGTAGTTGTACGAAGAGAGTGGATAACTTAGGTCCGGGTTTTCAAGGCAGTTGGAAGTAAACGCAGCACATTGTGTCGACAGGGTTGCCGATTTGGTTGTTCGGGCAGCGGATACACAACAAGAATGACCACCACGCGGTGTACCCACCCCTTGCCTTGGCTACCCCGCCCTTGCCCTTGCCTCTCATGTGATGCGACGAACGACGACTGTCGACCCATGTATGGGGGTTTAGTGCACCTGCCCTGAGAACAAGGCCTTGGCCGATGCGTTCGATGAGCTGGCGGGGCTATACTTCAAGGAGGGTAGCAAGGCCGGCGGCGTCTACAAAAAGGTGGGAATACTTGTCGGTCCTTCGACATTATGTCCCTAGGAGTTTGGAGTTTTTTCCAGGTTCAAGACTAATGTATTGTATTTGCGAAATTAATCCCCGGACCGCCTGGGTTCTTTTGCCAAACAACAATGCTGCTGATATGGTGTGAATGGGTGGATTTCTAGCAAAGCTTACGGAGCGTTGTTAAGGTTCTAGCGAGACTTGAACAACGGACTGGAATGCTCGTATCGAGAATTATTGACCATCCACGCTGTCTTATGACACCGATTCTCTCTACCCCTTTGATGCGCAGTTTTATCTTCTTCCGCCGTTATGCAGCTTGCCGGCATTTGCGCGAGCTCTTGCTGGCTCATAACAACAAGATGGTGTATCATTTGACGCAACCTAGCCCATGATTGGTCGGTGAAGGCAGTACGATCGAAAACGCACGGTATTTCATCGTATCGACTTGGTTGTCTGCTTTTGCCCGTCAGCAACCCCCCCTCCCGCCTCGTGATATCGATAGGATAGATAGGCTAGGGAAAAAAAAATTGAGCCACCTTTGGCAAACTTCGAAGGAACGATTGACCATCGGTGATCGATCCTATGGGAACAATGCTCCGGCCTCTCAAGGACGCGTGGGCCTAACCGCTAAGGCATGCAAAACATAAGAGCACGCCCCCCCCCCCCCCCCCCCCC